AGCTCGGGGAAGGCGAGGCGGCTATCCGAAGGAGCAGCGCCCTCATCTAACCCCGCTTTTCTTTTCCTCAGCAGGCAGCGAGGGGCGGGGGGGAGGGGGGATCGTTTTCTATAGTGTGTCGTACTGCAGTGCACGCTCTCCGCCTCGCCCCCCTCATCGTCGGGCAGGCCGGCTGCTCAGTGCTGTGGTGCGTAGAGGTAGGTCTGATACCGCCTGTTTTGTGCTTCATTCCCGGGACTAGCTAGGGTTTGTTTTTATTGATCGGCCTTCCCCAGGGAACGGCCGTGCGGCGGCTCCCGGGAGACCGCGGCCCCGTGGAAGAGCAGCAGCAGCAGCACGACTCGCCTGCATCAGCCGCGGCCGGGCCCGGGCCGTGCTCGTTTGTGTGCCCAGCTCAAGAGCGTTTCGGAAGATTTACGTGGATGGGTGCCAGACGAGGTTAATGGGCAAAAATCGTTTGCAGACATTGGAACCTTATCTTAGACTGGCCTAAACACGACCAGACTCATGTAGTATCAAAATGTATCAAAACAAGCAGCCATCATAATCCTTAAGGATAAAATACAGGAAAAAAAAAAGCAAATTACTATATCATTTTATATATTGCGGTTTATACACAATCAATCATGAAACTTAGTGAGATTCTGCTGTGAGATAGGCTTGGGATCACACTGGAAGTTATTTGCTTTCCAACACCTCTGAAGTTAAGTGCAGGGTGTCTCTAAGAGTGTAGAGATAATTAGAGGAGATGACATTTTGTATGTTGGAAATCACATGGAAATTAAAAAGTACTGTTAAAATGACAAGCTTAGTGTAAGACTCAAAAACATGCACGAGACAGATTTCAAATGTCTTACTGAAAAAAGCTCAAGTGGATGTGCATAAAGAAAAAGGGATATGTGAGTGATTTAGATGTATTAGAGCAAATGTATAATGTATTTCTTGTGTTTCTTTAGTATTTTATAATTTTCTGTGTGAGAAACCTTACACTCTTTCAGTCTCTTTCCTCAGCTGATCATACAGTATAGCATCACCATGCTTATTTTTAGCATCACATTAATTTCTGTAGTAATAAGGGATTATCTCACTGGAGGGAGGTGAAGTAGAAAGTTTCTCATGAGACATCTATAGGAAAGACCAAAAAAAGTATTGGCTTAAAACCTTCCTTTTGATTTGACATTTATTCTTCCAGAAGGACTTGCCTGCTGATTTTCTGGGCTTTATGGAGACTCATCATTAAAAACATCTTGGGCTGTTTTGGTTTGCCCTAGCTGGTGGGAGGAATCTTTTATTCATTCTTGAGGAGTGTATAACTTTCTGAAATGTGACATATCCCAGGTCTGTATGGGATCTCTGTTAATGTATTGCTGTTAAAGAGGATATTTTTTCAATTATTTGTACATTTTTCTACGATGAAGTGTTGATATGTTCATACTGCTATTCTTTTGATGTCATAGACTGCACATTTTTCTTTAATGATTCAGTAAAATGCATGTCTCCTTGAGAGCAGGCATGTTTTTTTGTCACTTGAAAGCGCAATTGTTTACTTGACTGAAAAGCAGTGTACAGTACAGCTAAAACAGGCAGTGGTACAGGATGGCACAATAGCAATTCTGAGTTCAGCATTGTTAATGAATAGCTGAACAGCCAGGTTATATACAGTTTGATTATAAACCTTCAATTAGAAGCCAGAAAATGAGTTATGTTAGAACTTCTGCTGTGAAATGACTGCACTTACAAAATGAACAATAATTTGAGTGTCTTGATTAAATTATTACTGAAGCTATTATAAAACTTGCTCTATTAATAATGAGTGACGGCTAAAAATAAGAAAATGAATGAATGAAGTATCACTAGATCTACCTTTGAATATTTTTTCCCTTCACTGTTTTCTACTGTATATATTTTATACAGTAGCTTAGTGTAGATCCCTTATCATATGTAATTGAACTTGCTGATTTGCTCTCTCCCTTTTCTCTAGAAATCTCTCTCTAAAACTGTTTTGCTCAATTAAGGAGTTCCATGGGTGGACTCTTAGTTCTTTTCAGAGCGATTGTCACCTGAGAAATTATTTCCAGTATGAATCTGCAAATCAGTTAAATGGAATACTTTGAACAATGTCAACTTCCTACACTATGTGGGTACAGTTTTAAGGAGATTTTGTCATTGTAACAACTTCTACGAGAGAAAAAATACATTTACCTTTGCAATGTTTTCTCTTTGTGCAGTTCTGAATATCTGGTTTTTTGTCCAACACTTTAGCATTTCTAATCTTACCATTCATCTTTTGTTTTATGATTATTGCACTTTCTGATTAAGAATATAATAGTGTTAGCATCCCACATGTAGGATTATAGCATAACTTAATTCCTGATGTCATTCCTTTATTTTCTCTTCTGTGTCCTTTCTATTCTTCTCTCGCTGTCCCTCTCATCTCTTTCACCCTCCCTTTGTGGAAAGAATAACTTTCAGGTGTTAATTTAACTGGTGGATTGGTTTACTGATGAAGACTCCTTGATTTAAGGGCATTTTAAGAAGTTCTGACAACCTCATCAAATTGTTCCTGTAATTTCCATTTTGTGTTCTTCCTTTCTAGTAGTTTCCCCCTCCTCAGTTCAGATACTGTCACTCAGCAATTCATTTGACACAATTGAACATACTTTCTTTTTTCTTTTTCCTCCCCCAGCTGCAGCAGATCCTCTTTTGGAGATTCCCAGTATTGTTCCTAATTGCTTGTTTGCCCCTCCCCACAAAAAGGGTGTCATAATATTCCCTTGTGACAGGTAAAAAATAAGCTTTTTGTGTCTACACTGCAAAATAAATGTAAACCACTTTTGTAATGTACGGATCAAGTCTTGCTTTTTTATTTGTTTTGCTTTTCAAAACAATTATTTTTGTACAGGAGTTTATGCCAGGCCTTTTCAGTCTTGTCCTCTGCCACCTTTTTTTAAGACTTTAATTTCTATTAAAGATACATTTCAGTCATCACATATAGCCACAATTACCTATTAAATAAGTCTTTTCAATCTCAGCATTGATATGGTTTTTAAAATTTCAAGAAGAAAAGAAGCACAAAAGATGCCTTTTTTTAGGTGACATTTTGTATGTTATCTTCTCTCCGCCAATTCTTTAACTCAAAAATTGTTAGAATATATCTACAAAATCTTTCAAATCTTTCATAGAATTTATTGGAGTATGGAGCGACTATACATAGACTTTCTCTGCATGGTTTTTGCATACATATAACATTCACAAAAAAAACAAGGAACAAGTGGAAAAAAAACCCAAGCTTTCAAAATTCTGGACTGTTTTTTGTGGACATATGCACATTTCACAGCTGTTCTTATAGACTACATAAAGTTTCCAGTAGTATTAGGTACTGCAGAATGAGTGAGATTTAGTTTTTCCCTTTACCTCATTTACTTTAGCACTGGAAAAATCTGTAGGGCACAGTAGGGATTATGGACATATATAATAATTTTGATGGGGCTTGGTGCTCTCTAGTAGTAGAACTGCACGAGTTTCCATTTGATTCTGATCCATTGCATCCTCAGCAGAAAAATAATTGGGCTGCCTGTTGAATAGCTAACTAAAAATTTGTATTCCAATGTTTTCCAAAAAATCTAGACTACAAAGTAAATGCAGTCTTTTTTAGAAAACTTCCATTTTAACACAGATTGACCAAACAATTGAATTTAATTCAATGTTCTCAATATTCAAGATTTTCACTGTTTTGGTAATATTTTTGTGTGTTGGTTTGTTTCTGTGTTTTGTTTTGTTTTTTTTTAATTCTTTCAGAAGCAAGGTAAGCACCAGAATAATGTGATTTAAATTTAAATTAATGCATTTAAAATGCATTTATAGGAGGATTTTTTTTTTAATTGCTATGGATCAATATCCATGAGTCTTTGTTTAAAAGACAAGTGCCTTCCAAGGAAGGGGGGAACCTCCCTTGGAATGGAAAACATGAACCCCTTCCCTCAAAATTATTATAACTTTGAAATCAAGGGGCTTTCAAGCAACGATATGGGAAAAGGAATAACAGTTCTTTACCATAATATATCTGTATAACAAGGCAGACCAACAGCCACGAGGGCAGCAGAAGGAGCAGCAGCACAAGCCCAGTGACGCCTTCTCTGGGCCGCAGGCACTTTCCCCTCCGGTGCAGTTCCGGGCACAGCCGGCAGGGGGCGCTGGTGGCTCCCGGCCAGGCAGGGCGGGTGCGATGATTCCCCCACGCCGGCAGGGGGCGCTGTGGCGCGGGCCCGGCCGCCTCTCCCCACACGGGCAATGGCCGCGCTGCCAGCGGGAGAGACAGAGCGGGGCTTCAAACACACAAACTCACAGGGGGCAGCTGGTCCCAGTGCCCCTTCCGATGGCTAAATGGGCTGTAGCAAGAACTGCGAAGTAGCAGGCTGGAACTGCAGAGGTGAGCAGACTCTGGGGTGGCAAAATGTAGCAGAAACTCCACAGCCGTAGCAGGAGCTGCAGGGGGTTGGGCAGACACCGAGTCTCAAGTTAAAGAGTAGAAAAAGCCCCAAGCAGCAGCAGAAATGAGCGGGGCTGGAGAGCGGCAGCTGGGCTCCCGCAAACAGCCGGGAGACACTTCCTTGCCCGGGGAGGGGAAGGAGTTGGGGTCCTGGGTTTTCCTTTGGGGCACCTACATAGGTGGTGAGGATACTTTCCAGTGAGATTGGGTGTTGATAAGACCCCAGTTCAATGACCGCTCTTACAAGCAAAAGCTCCCCCACAGTAAGGAAGAAGCAGTAAAGGATGGAACTCCGCGGTGGCAGGGAATTCTCCCCACAGGAGCAACAGCACCATCTCTCCTCTGGGCCCCAACAGCAAAAGAGGGTGAGGAGCTGAGCTCAGCCCCTCACCCCTCAACCAAAATCTCGTGGTATCTCTGTCCTTCCCAAGAGAAAGCCCCCCAGCTCAGTAGCATACTGCACTCTTGCCCCTCTTCGTTGCTCTATCTTTTGTATCTCTTAACATCAGCTTGTTATTGAGAATTAAGGGGAAGATGCTTTATTTTGATAATCCCATTTAGATAAAAGTAGATTATGAAATATCTTAACAAAGTTTGTGGATGAAGATTTTTTTATTTGTAAAGAAAAATATTAACATTCTAAAATAATATTTTTTAAATTAAAGTTTTTTTAAAAAAAAAAATTGGAGGTGTTTATACTATACATAGCAGTATATTTAATTTTCACATAGAGCTTTTCTATTCCAGCTAGAGATACAAGTATCATCATCATTAGAGATTTAGTAGGCATACTTCTAGATATCTTTATGATCTGTTTGATCTATATAGAAATAATTTCCTATGCTAAGATAATTTCTGAAAACTCAATCAGAAGTCCATTCTATGTTTGTTATATATCCTGAAGAGAGGTTGTGTAAATCCTAATTGACTTTACTGATTACATACAACTTGCATAGAAGATCACTTGCTGTTACATAGCTTGTAAAACTTACAAGCAGTGACTGCTGTGTGAGTAAAGGTGGATATTTTAGTATGTACTCACTTATTTTTCTTTGTCACTTTTCTGACTCCCATTATTTTCTTAATTTAGAAATGTCATTAGAATGTAAAGTTCAAATATGAATTTTTAATACATTTAGATTTTTATAACACACTAAAATCTAATGAGCATTTATCATAACTCTTCTATGCCAAATTATCTTCACCTACTACAGTTTTCCTACCAGGTATGCATAGGTGAACAAATTCTTCATAACTAAGACATATATATACTATGGATTTTTTTGTATTTTTTAGAAAATATAATAAAAATTTAAATGCTCCTATTTTTCTTCCTACCTGAAGCAACCACTCTTTTACAATTCACTTCAAAATCCCAAATGCGTAGTTTCTTCATATAGCAAAAATGATTTTCATTAAACCTTCATTTTCTCCAGCAAAAAAGATGATGCTGTGTAATGTATTTTTTAAATAACCAAGTGGACAACGAGACAAGCAGCTGACAGCTAGACACAGAGAGATGCTTCTTATTCCATTAGTGTTTTGACTATGCTGCTACACAGCTTCAGTGCACTTCTCTGTTGGTGTGTGTCTAACATGAACTTGTGTCATCATTTGAAGATGAAGGTTAAAGTGGAGAAGTAAAAGGACACTGAAATTTAAATTCTAAATCTCAGGGTCTGAACTGTACTTCTGAGATTGTCCAGTCTGTTTATTGCTTACAGAAAGAGAAAATGGTAACCTTGTATCCTCTTTTTGCACTTAATCAACATTGCTTCTGGTCCAGTTTTTTTACAGCTTCTGAGCTGTTGCTGCCTCTTCAGTCAATGGCAACTGTGGATGCTTAGCATTCCCGAGAAAAACAGTCCATTCCAAATAAGCAGATTTGGTTTTATAATTTTGTTTGCTGAACTGAAAATCAGAAGGCTGGGAATGAAGTAATATTTGTCTATAAGGCACATGCACCCCAGAACTAGAGCAAAACCAGCTTTGCAGGTCATGTAAAAGAAGATAATAGCTAAAATACTTGACATTTTAGATCTATCATACCATACAAATGTTTGTTGGATATTTGTGGGGTTTTTAAAAGTTAAGTTTATATTCTTAATATTTTAGAGAATTCAGAACATTTAGAATTTAGAACATTTAGGGAAGTGCAGAGCTGATAGAATTTGAATACTAAGAATCAATGAGAGAGAAGAAAAATGCAAAAAGTTCTCAGAAATGTTCATAATAATTTTAAATAAATACAGTTTAAACCATGTCTTACCTGTAAAATATAGCCTGAACAAATTTGTATTTAATTTAGTAATTTACTTCATGTAGCATTTTAATACAGCATGTCCATCTGTAATCTTATGACAATGTGTAGATCTTTCCTTCAATGAAATTAATGAAGCTATAAGAAAACGCCAAATATTTAGTTGTAACATATGAATGTTACAACTAAATATTTGGAGTCTTCTGGTGGCTTCATTAATTGGCCAAAGTGAAAAGTGAATAAATAATTTAAATATTTAAACAAATTAATTCAACTAAATTAAATTGATAATACTCCTTAAATATACATTGCATTTTAGAGCTTGAACATACTTGATTCATTAGATATTTGCAGCAAATTTCTCTTTATGTGTACTTTGTGTAGAATTTTCTGAGGGTTATGGCAGCTCAGTCTTTCTGACCTAGGAGCAAAAAGTAAATATTTATGTTTCTGTATGTAATGTGTCTGATCTAAAATTAAATTTAAATTTAATTTTGTAGAATTCTGTATGTGATGAATGAATAAAAAAGATTATTTGCAGTTTCTGAGGTTTTTTTTGGCCTTTTCAGGAATTATTGAGATAATCTTGCAAATTGTCATGACTGTTAAGGGACATCCTAAATTATACCTATGCATAATACTTATGCAGTTTCTGTGAGACTTCTTGAATTACATTAGCAAAAGTTAAACCAATTGAAAGAGAGTAAAGAAAGCTATAGATTATACACGTAGAAGAATCTGTCTTCAACTGTTTCTAGGCTGAGCAAATGTAAAAGCACTATAAAAGCAAGATGTCGCTCTAAATATATATTGGACAATTCTACTTCCGGGCATGGTTTAATTCTCAAAAGTGACATTACAGTCTTGCTCAACATTTCCGTAGAATGTGAAAGGAGAGCCAGAGTAAATTTTGTGATGATTCATGCCTGAATATTTTGAACACTTCCTGTTCTGACTAGCTAAGTTTAAAAAGTGAGGGAGAGCACACGGAATAAGTATCCACTTGAGAGATGGTTGCAATTGAGCTCAACTTTAACAGGTGTCTCCAAAGTCATACTTCAAAAAAAATGGGATTACACAGCTGTAATGAGGATACTGTTTGGCAAGGGAGGACATTTGTTACAGGAAGCGTGATGGAAGCGAGAAATGCTGGAGTGGTTAAAGGAGCCAAGGTTGGTTTTGTATGTCTGGCTGTTTTCTTTGTAAAAAAACAACAAAACACCTACCCACTCACCCCCCAAAAAAACCAAACCCTATCTCTTTACATGACTACAGACAGAATATGTGATGTCAGAATCAAAGGAAAACAATAGGGATTTTTTTTCATGTTGTTTTTATTTGAGTTTTCTGAGCAAAGCTGTACTTTGAACCACATCTTAAGCGTTTTATGCAACAACTTAACTTTGCTACTTTGTTACAGACGTCAGTTTATTTAACCACTTAAGACTGAAAACAAAAGCTTTTAGGATTTGTTAATAATATGAATACATTATATATCCAATAGGATGGATTAATCCACCAATTCAAGAGTCCTTCAGATCACCCATAGAAACTGAAACTTTTGATATTATATATGAAATACAGATGCATGCAATATGTATAAACCAGAATATCATATGCTAATAAATTAAGTATTAAAACTAATAGAGGCTGAACAGAATCTCAAAGAAATCCCAGTGTCTAATCACAAGCAATTACTTAAATAACCATTTCTTGTTGTTAGGTTGTTCCTTCACCAAAGATGTTATGGTTTTCTCCTAATTCTTCATGTCTGCTTTGCCTCGAAACTTTTGAGAAAAATATCAAATAGACACCAGGCCAGTATAAGTAAGATGTGTACTGACTGTTTCCTGAAGGAAATATTACAGTTCTCAATTCCTGGTAAGCAAGATAGCATGCATATTTTTAGAAAAAAACAGTTCTGCATCTGCATTTGTCTACTTTTTATGTTATGGGGAGAACATTTGGCTGCGTTGCTTGTAAAAGATGGTACAAAGTAGGAGGAAAACTGCTGTCTGAACACAGAAGTATGGGTTAATGTAACTAAAATTTAATCGAGTGAAACTACATAATTTGTCATCAATAAGTGTAGAAAAAATATCTGCAGTATACCCTGGAACAGGAAAAAAAGTGGCTTCCTATCTATGTGTTTTTAGTGATAAAACAAACACACCTTTTCTTAAAAAAAAGAAGTAAAAAGACCCCAGGAGAAAAAAAAATTAACTTCCATACAGGAAGAGGAAAAGCAATAAAAACTCTTCTTCCAAAGTAGGTATTTGAGGGTTGGACTTGTTTGTATTTGTCAGATTTAAAGGAGTAGCATCCAGAAAGGCTACTAGGAGTTATTTTCTAAAAATTTAGCTCAGAAATTATTGAGGTCAAGAAAAAAGTTGTAAAGGAGACACTGAATTTGAACTCATCTGAGATTCTCTTAGTTGCAATTATTTTACTTACTGACTCTATTTTTGGGCAACTTAATACAGTATGAAAGTGCAAAGTTCAACTAAACTATTTTACTTCTTCCTTTGACCATGCTAGGTCAAGATGAGCAATATGAGAATTTCGCCTGGAAATTTCGTGAAAAATCCAGGTTTTCATTTGAAGTTACACCTTTGATAATCATAAATAAAGACTACAGCCCATCATCCACCCTGGAAAGGAACACCGTGACTGGCACCCTGCTAGGTCTGTATATGGCCAGCAGCTGGTCAGAGGCACCATGGACTGTTGGGTGCCCCAGCAGCGAGGGCACAATGCAGGCGTTGCTGGCTGGCCACCTGGGAAGCAGCTGGCAGAAACCAAGTATTGTGAGCTCCTTGGTTTGGCATAGAGAAGGCTAGGGAGTGGAGCTTGCAGGGGTATAGTAGAGGTGAGAGAGAAGGAGCTGCAAAAGCATAAGCTGTTCCCACTGATGGGCTAATGAAAGCTGCTGCTGTTTGCAGCCTCTTGCTGGCAGGCTCTTGTTGCAGGTTGCTGTAGTAAAGGTGCTGGGAAGGGCAGGATTATAAAGATGTGAAGGTTTTTACACTGGTGTACTGAAAACCTAATACTTATTATCCTTAGGCAGTTACACTGCTCTCATTTCTCAATACTGTGCTGTTATCTCTACAGTGAGGCCATTTTCTGATCCTTTTTCTCTTCTGTATTTGCACTGTGAAGTCTGATTTTGAGTCCCATGTTTGAATTCTCTGCATAGTTTATATTTTCAGTATTTATACATTCCCCTATTTCAAAATATGTCAACAAACAAAAATATACTTAAATATTTAAAATAAAACAGCCAGAAGTTTATGTTAAAAAGTAAACAAATAATGATTTTTATTTAAAGACTATAAATATTTTCTGTTAACTAATGTGCTTGCCAAGTTTTTAATTCTTAAAGGAAGCATTATTTCTATCATCAAGCCCATTAAGTATTTACACTCGTCTCCCTTCCCTCCTGAAAATCATATTCTCTGGAAACATTGGAGGTGTCACAATAGGGGGAGACAGAGACACGACACATGAGATTCATGCAACAACAGCCAATGTTTATTCATGGACGCCCCCTTTTATAGGGGGTTCAAAATTCCCACCCTTACACACCTGGTTGATCAGGATCTCAGCATTACCCAGCTCCTGGCCAGTTAGATGTCTGCATTCTGGATGGAATGGGATTGGCTGGGATTGACTCCCCTGTTTGGATTCAAATCCAATTTATCATTGCCTCATCCGGGGACCCTTTACTCCTACTCTTTAACAAACTAGGTTCGTTGAGTTTGGGGTTCTGTTTTGGCCAAGTTTATCTGTGCAGCTTTAGACCAGCTGTAGCTGTTACATGGAGGCATTGGAGACAGAAATACTGAATGCATAGAAAACTGAAGTTTGTTTTCAAGTAGCCTTCACCTTTGAGCAGTCTTATTGTTAGACTAAATTAATAGAACAACAACAGTCTTCCATGAGTGCAGAAATTAAATTAGTCTCACTAACTAAAACTAAAATTAACAGTTGTTATTAATAGATTTTATTGCATAATAGTTAAATTTCTTATCTGCAGTGGTAATCCTCTCAAACAGGCATGAGAGAACTCTTTTTCTTCCTTATTATTTTCTTTGCACCATATCACAAAACTTTTCACTTGATCTTTTATTCTTTTGTCTTCTTGGGGCATCTCTGCATGAATGATGCAACTGGATTTACCTATTTCTAAATTGGCACAAAAAAAGACAAAACTGCATTCAAAAGGTGTAAACTGTTGAATTTAAGACATTTTACTTGCTTTTTGACAGAGTGGTTTGAAGACTGTTCATGTACCTGTCTCTCTGCTCTGTATTGTGTTAGCAGAGTATCACCTCTGTTCTCTTTGTTCTAAGACTTCTTTTCAGCAACAACTGTGTTTACCTGTGTGATGTCTGCTTTTCCAGTTTGCTTTTTGGAGACTAGGTATTCTCCTGAAGTGGCAATTTCTCCTTTGAACTCCAGAGAAGTACCCCCTTGATTCTGAGTATTTCAGGCTGCTTAGGTAAGCGAAGTCACTTCTAAACCCACTCAATAGCTTCATGGCAGTTTGTAGGCTTTAAAGTGATATCAACAAGAAACTGTTTTAAAAGTATACACTGTGTACTCTACATTACTGACACCAGAGAAGTTGAAGTGCTGTCATTCATGGTGTTTTGTTACTTCATAATGTTCACAGTTCCCTCCCTGTATCTAACCCTGCTGCATGGCTCCTGCTTCAACACATGCTAAATGGATTACACCAGAAGACCCTACACCTCATACAGTTTGGAGGTAGTATATTACTGTGAGAAGCGAAGATCACTTCTAAAAAATTTTAAAAGTGTAATAATAGATAAAAGGGACAATAACAGCACTGAGTGCATGGCCATAGCCAGAGGAATGCCGGCTAATCATAGCAGCTCTTATATACTTATTCTATTGCATTGATCAAATACATATTCATAAAGATTATATATATTCAAACTTTTTTTAAAACTCATTTATATGTTCTGGGAGTTCTTTAACTTGGTTCAATTTCTGAGTCATATTCTTAGAACATGTGCAATAATGTGGATGTGATTTTGAGGGTCGTGTCTGTCACGTCCTCACAAACGCACCCCGTTCCATGGTTTCAGCAGGCAAAAGTTATTGATCAACAAAGGGTCAGTGGCAGAGGTCCTTCACATCCATTCTTTTAATGTTATCAGACCATGTAGATGGTTTTTACTATTTCCACAAGTACATTAAATCAACATCAGCTATTTCACAAATATATCTGAGTTGTTCTCATTATTGTCAGTTGGTTACAAAAATGAAGGCATTAGTTATTATTTCACAACTACAGCTACTTCTGCAAAAGTTAACATAACACACAACACATAGCATCTACTCTAATATTTGCAAAAGACAAAACTATGATATATGTTTATCACACTCTCCACAAACTAAAATATCATCTGTAAATGGTGTTCTAAGGATATGAGCTAGATAGGGGCCAGGACATTGGCCACAAAAAGCTGACAAATTTTACTATTATCAAAAGAAGTTAAAAGTGATTACAAACTGTACTACATTAAAACTGTAGGGATTAATAATGATTTGCAAAAGCCAACACATAATAGTGAAAGCCAACAACTACACGGTTATTTATAACATTACCCAATGAGATTTTCTGACATTGTTCATACCTGTAAGGAATTTAAAGGTTTTAACAGAGATTGGCAAGAAGGAAAGCAGTATGTTATTTGCTTGTTTGTTCCTAATGGACTAGCAAAAGTTGGACTGCTAGAATATAAAGCACAAAATATCCAGAAAAATACTTTGAATAATAAAATGAATTAATATGTGAGACTTCTTATTGTGCCCCATTAGATAAACTTAAATAAACCAATTTTTAGTACATGGAGGAAGAGAAGAAAATACTGCATGGAACATTTTCAGTGTAACTATTTGTCGCTGCCCGCTCGGCCCTTCACGCCCCGGCAGTTTGAACAAGAATTATGGAATACATTATGCTGAGTAATACATCATGAGAACATGTGAAGGGTTACCTTTCTTCTAGTATCTGAACACAGCCAAAAGGAATTATGCCTTCCTTTTAAGAATTTCTGTGCATATTTATAGTAGAGGTGAACAGAGTTCTAAGGAATTACATGACATAAAAATACAACATTACTAACTATTTTTAATAGTTACAGTGTTGAACTAAATAAGGCAGGATAATAGAAAAACAATAAATTACACTTGTAAATCAAAGACTATTCTAGCCATTACTGGAAGGAGACAGAATTACATCTTGCTGTTTCCATGAGCTCTGTGTATTTTGACTCAAGAAGCCACAGCAGGCCTCACTGCCTGAGCATGCCTGACTCTTCATCTCTGGTAAGTAATTCAGTGTAGCACTACTCTGAGGAAGTAGTATCACATGTTTAATGGAAAAGAATCACTGAGTAGAAATCACACTGTAAGTTCTTCAGTGAGCAGTGACTTCCATCATAATTCTGAATTTCTTTGGCTGCATGTAAATTACTGATAAATCAGAATTGAGATGCTCCCAATATGGTTCCTGTTTCATAAGGACTTGACAGTAATGGATGTATAAAAAAAATTGCCTGAAATCCTTTAATTTAGCCAGACAGAAAATAAAACACAGTTGTCTTGTTCTTTTTGCACCTGGCTAGTTTACTTTATGTTGTAGTACTAAACAAACTTAAAATTTCTAGGATCTTTCTAGAGCTGAACTTTATGATTGTGACCTCTGTCTGACCCAAATATACTGAATACAATTTAATACTGAGACAATCCTGATCAACACAGCATCTTTTGTCTTATCTCACAAAGGTGCTATTCCAAATGAAGTTTCAGGTGCTGCAGGACAAGTTGAGGTCAGCCTGGTTTTTCATAATATAATAATTAGAGTTCATATTTGGCTTATTAAAAATGTAACTGTATAATTACATCCCTTAAGTTAAACCCCCTTCCCCTTCAGGATTCATGGAAAAGTTCAAGTGGTTTGAAGGAAATTACCAGAGGAAATACTTGTGTGAAGACCTGTCACTCTCTTGTGATGATAAGGGCTTTTTTTGTTTCTTTCACTTGTGTAAATGTAACATTGCAATACTTCAATTACAGCCATCAAAGTTTATTTTGAATGTTGGAAAACAGTTACTTTGCTACTTAGAAATTACATGTTCCATTTTAATAGAAGAACTCATCAATAAGTAATACTTTATATTAGTGAATCAAGATGTTATATTTTATATTAATAATTAAACAAAACTATTATGTGAGCTGTACAACCCAGTATCTCTGGCATTTTCCATATAATCAGGGAAAGACTTAATGTGTGAGAAAGGAGTGTGGAATCAAAGTGACAAAAAGAGCAAAATCTGGGACAGAACAGTTTGATTCTTAGAATTTTATTTTAATTTGAAATAGTTCATGGTAAGAGATGAAGATACAGAGTGTCTTGGGGTGATTTTATGATGATACTCTATTCCCTAATCATCTACTTGATGTCCAGAAAATGGCTGCTGTAGCTTTAAGATGAACCAGGGCCTGAGAACCCCAAGTTCAAACTCTCCTCGCCCCTGTGCATTAGCCACAAAAGCTGACAAATTATACAATATCAAAAACAGTTAAATGTGATTACAAAATGTAACACATGAAAACTGTTGTGATCAATAATAACTTGCAGAAGTCAATACCTAAATGTGAAAGCAAATAACTATATTGTCATTCATAATACACTGAACATCTATCTTCCCATATACAAACAAACCCTGCTGTGAAACCCCCAGCCCCACAGGCCACATCCACAGGACATTCACGTGAGAAGCAACAGAGTGGGTTTCATTATCCATCAAAGACCCCCCGTCAAGGAGCTCCACAGAATTATTACTGTGGCCTTGCACCACAGCATTGCATGTGATGCAAAGTGATGCAACAGATCCAGAGTCCACTGCAAGAGATTGTGTCAGACTGCACCTCTCTATGGGAGGTACCTGGCCATTCCCACCCAGCCTGAGTATATATTAATCCGTTGGATTTTGTCCTTTTTGGGGAGGACTCTCACCACCCAGAAGACCAGCTGGAGAGGATCTGTTGCTGCTGGACATGAAATGAGTCACACAGACACAGCTCAAGGTGTGGTGAAAGGAAGAGACCTTTATTTTCTTTTCTCAGTATTTATAAGTTTCTGACCATGGCCAGGGATTGGATAGTCAGGTTAACACCTTCCCCTGGCCGTGAGAGATGTCCATCAAAAGACAAGTATCAGAAAGAATGTATATATATTTATGTTTACAGTCATTGTCTTGGGAAAGTCTTTAGAAACTATGTCAACAAGATCGAAAACTGAGTTTTCAGGGCGACAAGGATCAACAGAATATAGTTGGGATCCACGGAGTGGTGATACTTAATTTTATCTGTCTCTGTCCTCCCACATCTTTTCTACTTCATTCTCTTCCTTTTCTTTCTCTCTCTCTCTCTCTCTCTCTCTCTCATATTCACTATTAAATAAAAGCCATACTATTGACTTTGGCATATAGTCTCATTTGCACCTTAATTCAGGCAGAAGCATTTCTAATCATTTTAAGAAACTGGACTGTAACGGTTGTGTTTCAGAAACTGTGATGCAGAGAAGTAGTCTAATTATTCCTAAATTGAACTTTCTATATTCTGCAATTTCATAAATTTGATGCCATAGACAAAAAGTGAGCATTATGACATACCAATTTATATAGTACTGTAACTGGGAAAAATTCTTTTGGATTCTTCTTAAAATAGTTGCTTATTTTGATGGTGGCAAATGTTATTCAGTACATTTCCTTAAGAATCTGTTAGGTTGACTTAGTGACTTTTCTCAGCTGTGTGCTGCTGCGTGCAGCATCTACAGTGATGTTCTGTAGTTCAGCTAAAGGAATCATACATATACATACACACGACTCAGTGTGTCAAGATCTTTGCATGAATTCTTATCCCTGCTGACTAGAAATTATTAAGCAAAATCATTTCTTGTTTCTTAATGTTGGCGTTTAGGGGAAAACATTATCATAGAATAAGAAAAATCCCAGCAGTCCTAGTTGTGTTTTATGAATGTACATCTCACAACAACTAAAAAGCAATTAAATAAGCAGTCATTCCTTTGACCATGTTGGGGTTTAGGATTCTTCCTTTTATTACTTTCTCTCAGGGAATTTTGTCCCATATGTGCTACTAGGAGGCAATAACGACTGGGTATTTAAGAGAGACAAAAGAAGTTGTCAAGCTCAGGGGAGGAGGGCACACGGTTTCAATCTTATCTGAGGGTTTCTGTCTCCGCCAAATGAGGCCTCAGTCACTGCGGGAAGAGCTCACCACCACTGCCGGATTCTGTCTTCTGCTGCCTTCTACTGTGAATGCAGCTCTACTCGTAAGAGCAGCCTCTCAGCTGGGAACTTATGAATACCCTACCTCACTGAAAAATGACTTTCACCATCAGCTCAGGTGTCTCAGGGGAAACCCCTGGATCCCTGAGCCCCCTCCCCCTCCAAGGGAGCCTCTCTCTGGGCCGTGTTCAGGAGTCGGGCGGCTATTGTGCAGCCCCCAGCGATTTTTGCCACTGCTCCAAGGTTTCTTGGCTATGCTGTATCTCACACCCCCTGCCCTGCAGGGACACCCCCCTCAGTTTCAGCTCTAGCTGCAGAGTTTCTGATACATCTCATCTTCCACTCCAGGACTTCCTTCATCCTTGCCTTCCCAGCTTGCTACTCTGACGTTCCTGTTAAAGCTCCTTTTGCTGTCTGGAGGGGCACTGGGACTGGCTGCCCCCCGTGAGTTTGTGTGTTTTAAGCCCCGCTCTGTCTCTCCCGCCGGCAGCGCGGCCATTGCCCGTGTGGGGAGAGGCGGCCGGGCCCGCGCCACAGCGCCCCCTACCGGCGCGGGGGAATCATCGCACCCGCCCTGCCTGGCCGGGAGCCACCGGCGCCCCCTGCCGGCTGTGCCCGGAACTGCACCGGAGGGGAAAGTGCCTGCGGCCCAGAGAAGGCGTCACTGGGCTTGTGCTGCTGCTCCTTCTGCTGCCCTTGTGGCTGTTTGTCTGCCTTGTTATATATATATGTAGTGAAGTATATATCTAGTAAAGTTTATATGCTATATCTATGGTGTATATATATAGTAAAGAACTGTCATTCCTTTTCCCATATATTTGCCTTAAAGCCCCTTAATTTCAAAGTCACTGTAATTCAGAGGGAAGGGGTTCACATTTTCCCTTCCAAGGGAGGTTCCCACCTTCCTTAGCAGACACCTTGGCCTTTCAAACCCAGACACACTTCTCAACAGCTGGGCAAGATAAGAAGAAAACTAACCACATGTTTGCAGGAAATTGGATAGAATCACTGTTCTTCCTGAAAATACCAATAGAAACACTAAGATACAAAATAGCCTTCCCACTGTGGGCAACCTGGACACTTGATGATCTAAGAATAGAGTCTGGGTCTCCAAAACCATCCCATTCCTCTGCTGTGAAGCAGCTCTGTCTTCAGGAGCAAATTGTTTTCTTTCTTTTCATCAAGGTCCCTGCCCATATATATTTGATGGGGTGAGGGGCCAGGAGGTTGGAAGAGAGGGTGGAATGTTGGGGGGTTTTTTGTTTATATTGTGATTACAGAAATAAGGATGCAAGTACTCAAGTGAGCATCTGCTGCTAACCAATTTAAAATCAAACTCATTAATAGCATTAATGTTGATAAAAATGGTTGCTGGTTTATAGCATCATTGGCTCCCTTTTTGTGATATTCAAAGTTTTTAAGGTACAATTAAAGTAAAATAGAATTTAAGAGACACTGACACACTAGAGAAAGAGAAAATACCATTTAAGGAGGTAGTGATGAAATTAAGATTTTTGTTTTAGGAAAGTCAGACTCTTGCAAAATCAAATCATGCCACTCAATTTTAAATCTCTTGATCTCTTATATTCCCATTCATATAAAAAAGATACCTCAAGTGAGCCAGTTTACTGTTGTAGTTCTTAGTAGTTTATCTTCAGTGGCTGAGCTTGCACTTTGTACTTTTGAAGACAGGTATATGGCATGAAACGTGATCTCAACCTTCCTGTTAAAACAGAGAGGTTCTGAACGTTCCCTCCCAAGATGCAGAGCAGCAATGCCTATCACATTTTCTTCTCTCTGAAGTGACTCAATTCCTCTTGTCTTCTTGTGTGGACAATTTCAGCCTTTATGATATCTTTCAGCGTTTCCAGACAGCGCTGTTTCTCTTTTTACAGCTTTGTGCATTTGAACACACTCACAAGTCTGACTTCTCCCTCATGTCATCACCATCTTTATTCAATTCATTAATTAACCTCTTTCCTCTGTTTTACTTCTACTGAGTTCAGGCCAATATCTGGGCACTACTGGTGAATATATGAAGGCACAAATAAACACCATAGGCTGTTTGCTATGAACTCAGGCACGGGGTAAAGAAATTTTGTGTCTGATATCTGTAACAATAGAGATGGACAAAGATACCTGTTTCTTTGTGCAGAATAGCCAAATCTTTTTCCATATAGTCCATATTTTTATGATTATTAGAAGGCACTGTGTTTGAATCTAATTGGTCAGCAAATCATTGAAACTCACTTCATTGGTTGGTAATGGCTAGTGTACATGTCTATCAAACTTTTCTCTTTCTAGATATGTCTACATTTTTAGTCTCCTGAGAAGTGAATTTTTCACATGGGTAGAATTTTCTTCCCTACATGTGTGAGCTATCTTCTCACAAGGGTAGAATGCTATGCAAACTGATTCTCATTCTTACAGTTCTTTTCTCCCTGGAATTTATCAGGCTAGCTTTGCCAAAGTAATGAGGCCTGATTTTACAAGGCCTTTCTTTTATAAGATTTAACCTATATGTAACAGATACCCAGTAATTTACTTGGAGTAACCTATACTTTGTACAGAGAAAGTTTATACAGCTGACAAAGAAACTTTGGGTTTTGTTTGTTCCCTGACCTGAATGGTGTTAAACTCTCATCTCATTGCTGGTATAGTTTTGCATTTGTAATACTGACGACTCTGCAGAGGCATAATCTCCTAGAAGAGTGTCATCTGGTGGTTGTTGTAAGTCACAACAGCTAAATATAAAAGTAAAAGTAGCAATCGGATCAGATTAGAAAAGTGCTCTGATTATCCCTTTTATTTATATTAAAGCTTTTAGGGTTCTAATCACAGAATTCGCTTTGCATGACTATTTCTCATTCTGTAGGTTGCAGGTATAATGAGTTGACAATTCTCATTGTCAGGTAATGTGCTGTGTTTCATAATATTTGTGTTGAAATAAAGATGAAAATACTTCCAAACTGAAACTGATTATCTGTGCAACTGTGCATGATATACTGCCTGACCACTTTAATATCAGCAATAGAATTTTGAATTTTATGTGTAGGAGTAGAAACTGCAAATATCACCAAACACAACATTCTGTAAACTGTGTGTAAAGAACAGTGGTTTGTACATAAGCTCTGGACAGTAACTCCTGTTACATGATTAGTGCTCCTTTCTTCTTAGTTTTTTTAACTCTATTACTCTAACAGTTCTTGTTAATTTATTTTTACAGTAACTCCCTCAAAGTCAAATATTATCTAGGTGGAATAATAGGAATATTAAACTGTTTTAACAGTATGATGGTGAAGTAAAGAAAAATTCAAACATGGAAAACCTCCTTCCCAAAATAAATATGAACCAACATTAAAAAGTTATCAGAAATGTTACACATGTTATGTTAAACATATATTTTTTTATATTATTTATATATTTATATGTTAATATTTGTGTTGGATAACTGGATTGAAATAATTAGCTGCTAGCAAATTCCTATGTATTTCCTAAAGTATTTGAAGTTGAATATGTGGGTAAGTGTATTGAAAGCCATATTCATAATTTATGCCCATGGCTTTTTTGTGACTTCCAGAAATCTACAATCTTAGACAGCATTTTAAAAATTAGGTTGGATTGGCTAAAGACAATATGCATCAGTAGGCTGAAGTCTAAAGACTTCAGGCATCGGTAGGAACTAAGATAGTTGAGATTGTAAAAATACTTCCAGCAACAGAATTGCTTGTTAGCTGAGCTTGAAGAAGCACTCAGTGAGATAACTTGAGTTTAAAAGTTACACAAATTGCTCACTGAAGGCTGTATGTTTGTGACAGTCTGAAATAACTTGCAACATAAAACTGGCCAGCTCCTGACTGCCTCCATTGCAGCAGCTCTGATTCTCAGGGGAAACTCAGCACAGTAAGTCAGCAGAAATTTCTTCTTCTTTTGCCAAGTTAGTTTTCTGCAGACTGAACATGCAGAAATGACTAAGGAGATGGTCTGACAAGCACTGAAGCTAGCAAAAGGCAAGGAATGAGATGGCAGGCATGTATAAGCTGGTGTTACTGACAATTAGAGAAATCTTGACTGGCATGAGAATAGTCTTTTACATTTATGCTCATTTATACCCTTTCCCAAAGAAATACCTTAATGATTGTTATAGATTGAATTTGGAACAGACCTTTATTCTTAATTATCTACGGTAACCAGTGCCTCTTGCAAGTATACGTTTATCTTTTACAGACAGCACCATGATGTCATATTTCTCTTTCTAATCTATGTTATCTGGTGTACTTAAGGAATATAAAAAGGGACAGGCATATCTTCACTTTCAACTGCTTCTTTTAACTTTACAAGTAAATCTGCTGGGATCAGATTAACCCTCTAGAAATAAGGTATCATTCAGCTGAGTATGGGATTTTGACATTCTGTGTGTAAAAGTGTAGTTTGAGACATCTTCCCCAAGACTTCTGCAGGGTTTAGAGTAAGCAGTTGGTATGTTGCAATATGTTTCAATCAAACTTGTTCAGATGCTAAAGCATTTAAATCCCATTTAGAAGGCTTATGATAGAGTTTTGCAGAGTTGTCATACATGTCTTCAGAATTTGGATACTGCTGCTTAGTGTGGGATGCCACTTTGTATTATTGGAGCAATACTAGACACACAGCAATGTATCACAAAAGATACCAATTCAAAAGCACAAAAATTCACACTGAGTTTTTAAAATGCCACCAATCTATATATGATTGAATCATAAATACAAGTATTATTTAATCTCATTCTAAAATGCAGGTTAGGCACTTCCTGTGAAGAACAGGAGATGATTAAGTACCTTGAAATTTACATAACAAAAGACCTTGCTGTAGTAAAAAAATTCCCCTAGAAAATATCCAGTTATCATGTAATTACCAGACTAGTATTATTGCAACCCATTATCAGAGTTTCAGCTAATAAATCCCCTTACCATTTTCTGTAGTAACTAAGAATTTAATGTAGGAAAAAATGACTTATTGTAGTTTCTAGTTTCAGGTTTTTCTCTTCCACAAAGCCTAAGGTCCTACAAAAACATCTGTAGATGAGGAACACTCAGAACGTACCATTTCAAGCTTCAAATTTTCCAAGGAAATAATACAGAGCTCTTTTTGTGTGTGTGTGTGTGTGTTGTATACATTTTATGAATAAATTCAAAAAGCTGTGCTTTTCTGTTTGATAGGAGCTGGTGACCTTTCAATTATGCATCTGTCCATCAAATTCACATACTACATTTCGTGATTTAGGTTTAAATCAGAAATGTAATCTCAACAGAGAAAGAGAATATGAGCTAGCATTTGTAATGCAGAACATAGGTATGAGAGGGTCATGGATTTATTAGGTTATTGACTAGTTAGGTTAGAGGGTTTCCCAAAGCATTCATCAGGCAATGGTCCTCTCACTTGATAACCTCTGAATTTTACTGCCATGCTGCTGCATGTCTGTCCTGGGGTGACGTTATGATGCTTGTATCCCCAGTTGTTTGTTCTGTTTATGCTGGATATTAAGTTTTGCACCTTTAAGTTTCTGAGAGCGAAGAAGAAGCACACAGTTTGTTTTCAGAAACTACACTTGCTGTCCTGCATTCTCTCTCCTGGACTGTGTTGTCTGCAGCATGGACAGCAGGAGAGAGCTCTCCTTTGCTTTTTAGGTTTCTTTTAGCTAGCTGAACCAGAGAAGTTCCCTGGACTGTGGCTTTTCTTTTTCTTGGAGCTGATCAACCTGCTCTGGACTGAAAACCCAGGAAAACCACCAGGAGCTCACACCTGTGGCCAAGCAGGTCCCAGGATGTAGTATTTTCCAGCACAGGAGGGATTGATAAGAGCCTGAGCAAGCCAAGCTACACCCCATGACAAAGACTTTATGAATTTGCCGTCTCTTCAGAACCATGAGAGGCTTTATTGTTTAGTATTATTTTTTATTTTTTTTTAAATGCTTGTGAATACTTTGTTTCTTAAACAAACTCTTTTTTCCACTTTTCTGCAAGGAAATCTTTTCCCAAACCCATTGGGGTAGGGGCTGCTTGAATTTGCTTTCTAGAGGGACCCCATTCAGAGGTTTCCCACCAAATTTGTCCTAAAATGGGACAATGTCATATTTAGAGGAAACAGAAGTTACCTCAGTGAAACAGAAACTGCTTAATTTTTATGGATGCAATAAACTTAATTTGCCATTTTATCTAATTTCCACATTGACTGCTATTCAGAGGGTTTTGCCCTTTTAGTCTGGAGACTTTTTCCTATACTTCTGATTCAACTTACAGAAAAGATACCCTACAAATCTTCAAGATACTTACCTGGCTATTACAGCTTTTAGGTTCAGATTAACTTTTTTGAAGGTGTTTGAAGCCAACAGTTGTTCTCACCAAAAATCACTGCCATCATCTGAAGTATGCCTAGTAGTCCTAACAGGAACACACAAATGAAAGGGTCACTATCAGTCACAGTTTATCTACAACTAAACAGATTGCTAAAAAATATTTTTGTTTAAACATGTGGCAAAAAAAAAAAAAAAAAAAAAAAAAAAAAAAAGCCTAGGAAAAACATTTCTGGCCATTTGTGATTACTGCATACAGCCTCCTTAGTAGGAAGCTTTACAGAGCACATGGCTCATCGTTTCTTGCAAACAGCACCATGTATTTTTTAGCCTTCATACAATGACAGTGGCAACAGAGTAAGTTTCAAAATAGTCCCACTGTTGGAGAATGAGTGCTGTCTCCTGCTGACAGCCCTCTGCATCTGCACTCGCAGATGTGCACAAGCGTCACCCAACAAGGGATCCGAAGCCAGGGGTTTTAACCTTACGCAGCCAAGAACATTTCCGCCCTAGTTTCGTGGAGACAGCACCAACAACAGTAGCAAACACTGCCTTTCCACCTCTAGTGGTACTTTGGTTGTAACAGTGTATCTCGGGTTTACAAATAGAAGGCTGCTGAAAAGTTGTCAGGGCTGACTCCACGAAAACGTCGCGACTTTCTTATTAGCAGATGGGTTTCCAGGCAGTTTCAAAAAGCAGCTTTTGGGCATTTTTCAGTCTTTCTCAGTTTTCGCAAGCCTAAGAACCGAGCACCTTTTTGTTACCTTGCTGCCCGATTCTTCGGCTTGCGAAAGCTTGTCCTCGACACTATCGCTGACCGACTCAGGAGGTCTCACAGACCCTCAGGGTCAGCATTCTGGTAAATCAAGAGTCTCCGTGGCGGGGTTTGAGGGCCGGAATCAAACGGCTCCGGCGGCGGAAAAGCGCAGCGAGGCGGCAGCTTTTACCGCTCTGTTCTTCCTCCCTCCGATAGAAGCGGTCACTCCTCCGCCCGCTCCATTCGCAGGACTTCACCGCCTCCCTCGCCCGCCGGGAGAGATGGAACAAGTGAGGCCAGGCAGCGCCGCTCCGCCCCGGTCCTGGCGCCCAGGGCCGCTCAGGCTGCGCCTCCTGTGGGAGGAGCAGCGCCGGGCGTTGCGTTCGGAAGTTTGTGCCTCGCCGCACACCGTGCCGGCAGAAGCGCCCGGCTCCACGTTGGCTGCGCAGGCGCACCAGCCGCGGCTGCAGGGTGGATCCTGGGATAACCGCGGGACAGCGGCCAAGCCCCGGTACCGGTGATCAC